TTAAATTCACCACAAAACCCTCAACTTTGGAGGATTTGCACATAAACTCTCGAACTGTTATTTTTTTAATCTCACCGGGATTCTGTTTGAACTATGGGGTAATGTAACTGTGACTTTTAAACTTTTCTTTGCGGACTCATTCCTATGTATTTTTTTTTTTTTTGGGGGGGGGAGGGGGGGGGTTATGTCACATGAAAATGTCAAAGACTTAAATTTAGAGGCTTTTTCTCTCAGAAGTATTTTAGTTTTTTATTAATAATATGTAAGGGATCAGCCGGTCTGGTGAGAAAAGGTAAATGCTTTAGCGTGGTTTGTCAGGCACCCTAAAATTTGGGGTGTTTTGTGAGATAAAAATGCAGGGGGTTATACGCAAATCCCTAGTTTTTTAAAATTAACCCTTTTTCCTGTTAGATAAAAAAGTAATGTAATTCTTGAGTTTTTCCTACATCACTCATTTAAATCTTTAAAATTTTTAAATTAGTCCTTCAAACCACTAAAATTGTTATCTATTCCCTCAAATCTTATTAGTCATTTCAAATTAGTCTCTTCATTAGTTCCTTCATCTAGATTAGTAATTTAGGTTGGGTGAGTTGCCAATTACACATGGTGAATTATATTTCTACCATCAAATGGTTATTCCTCTCGTAGAATTCTAGAAACTTTTAGGGGTTGTTTTGTTTATGGATTGCATCTTGATGCATGTTATTTTTGCAATGATTGCAATGAATATTGAAGATGATTTACATGGGGTATAAAAAATGCAAACCAAAATTTATTTGGTTGGACATGATTTTTATTGCGGGTATGTGATTAAAATAATAGGCTCGCCTAAAATCATCATGATTTTAAGAGATTACATTTGATGCATCTATTCCACGTACATGAAAGATACCAAATAAATAGCTTATCTAATGAAAATCTAGGATTTTAAACTTGTGACTTTCATTTTTCAATGCAAAAACCACCAAATGTGTAGAAACAAACATCCCCTTAAAGAAAGTGTTTACACGAGTATAATAAGAATGATTCCTTTAAGAGAGAGAGAGAGAGAGACGTGTATAAGAACTCAGGTCTAGAGTTTAAACAAGTTAAACTAACAAGTACATATTTAGAGCAACTTTTAGAGAGAGAGAGAAGTGTATAAGAACTCAGGTCTAGAGTTTAAACAAGTTAAACTAACAAGTATATATTTAGAGTAATTTTTTTATAGCTAAATTATTTAGAATAACTTAAGAAGAGGGGTATAATTGAAAACCCAGGACAAAAAATTACCTTAATTAAAAAAATCCCACGAAATTCAACGGCAACTAAGCTAAAGGGACTAATTTGGAATGATTAACTAGCAGTTGTGGAACAAAATAGCAATTCCAAAGGTTTCGGGGGACTACTTTAAAATATCAATATCAGAAAAACCCAAATGTAAAGGCTTAATTGCACTTAAATACCATGTAGTTTCCTCTAGTTTGCACTTATATGCCGTCACTTGTTTTTTATAATATTTATATATCCTAAAGTTTTTAAATTTTGCACCTATATTTTTTTCACTTTCTTTGGCAACATTCATATACCCAAAATTTTTAAAACTTACACTTAAATATCCTAAAGCTATATAAATTTGCACTTAAATACCTTTAGTCATGTAAACTTGAGTGTACATACATGCAAGTATTAAAAACTTTAAGACATACAAGTAGGGGTGCATTCTGCTCGGATGTGGCTTAGATATGATACTTGCCACATTCATATCTCCTTACACATCATAGATATGAATATAATTACAGATATACCTCGGTAAGAAAAATTTATATCCATAGGGATACAACTGCGGATATAAATGCACATATATAAGCGGATTTGCATGCGAAAAAAAGGATGTGAGAAAATTAGATAATATTGAAAAAATATATTCTATGTGGACAAAAGTGTTATTTAATATGTTTGTTATATTTGAAAAGCTAAGATTACACATATTGATAATCAACATTAATCTTAAATCTATAATCTATAGAATAAAACTAGTGCAACAGTATGATTGATATATATTCGGATATTTCGGATACAGATCCCGAGATTTCACTACAGAACCATATTCATAACCATATCTTATTGGTTATATATTTGAGTAACCATATTCGTATACTAACGGATACGATTACGAATATTTCTTCACATACGAATACAATTTATCACTCCTATATATATATATACTAGTTTTTACACACGTGCAATGCACGTGATTTAATACCATGAGTATTTTTGGCAGTTTGTGCTCATTTTTTCTTTAAACTCTTACATCCCGATTATTTTTTTATGTTTGTTTAAATGGGATACACCTAATTTAAATTTTCATGTTGATATTTGAATTGACAAAAAACAAATATAATTTAAAAATAATTTGAATTTTTATATTATTTTTGACCGATATGAAACTAAGCTTTATTTGAGAAAGTATAACATTGCAAAGTGAAAAATATTAAAATAGTATTATACAAGGAAGGTGAATATTTAAAACCAATATGGGAAAATTATTGATTTAAAGTATGTTAAAACGATGCAAAAGAGAATATGAAGTTTATTCCTAATCATTGATAGACTTCATAAAAAAAATAAATTAAAGATTAATACTAACTCTAGTATACTTTTATATGATAAAAACATCCACATAAGAATATAAAAGTACTGAAAAAAATTCATGAAACTCCCTTCTAAAGATTCCTAATTTCACTCAAAATAATTAAATTATTCTATAAAATATTCATAAAATATTGTTTTTATTTCTTCTATTTTATTTTTTATTGGGTTAAGATCAATCCTTCTTCAGGTTTATCATTTATTATTTCTCGGACAATTCTAGAGTATTGTCTTCATCATCTACATCAATTGTGACATCAGGCTAATTTTGTATTTTTTATGCTATTATCTTTCATGGGCTCGTTAATTTTTTATCATCTCATTTAACTTTACAAAGAAGTCAAATGTACTTATGATGTTCAACACAAACTGCTCAAAATATAGACTTTGATTTTTTTCTATTTCAATGAGAATAAATATTAATTTCATATATATAAAATTCTTTGTGTTCCTAATTTATTACTTAAATAAATTAGAAGCTATCTCTTTATTTTCCTCTAAAATGAATTCTTCTGATGTGCATCCAATAAGAATTTCTGTTATTTCAATAATATTACCTTTGCTCTATCCCTGTCATTTTCCATAAAGATCTAAACTAAATACCTGCATTATTCATTACCAATTTCTCTTAGATTATAATATTAATATTTAATTTGAAGAACACAGTATGGAATTTATGAATACTTACTAATTTTTCTTATGTCTTCCATGGAGATTTTTTCTTTGATTAGGATAAAGTTATTAAATTATTTTTTAATGTAACTCATTCAGTGCTTCATTAATAGATATGTCTTATGTTAATGCCAATTCAAGTGATTCATTCACGTTTTCTAAATTTTAGATTTATTTCCATCATTTTTCCATTTGTAATGGAAATAACTCAATTCTTTTAAAGTTATCTCTAAATATTCTAATAGTTTCTTCATATGTAATTTCTTGTATTCTTTTACCCTATAAATATTATTAACGTCAAAGATTAAAGTTTCTAAATTAAAATCAATTAGTGCTAAGGTATAATATTATAGTGTTTTATCATTTCTATGGATTTAAACATCTATCAATTAATGTTACGAATGTATTTTGGCTACCCCAACTTATTACTAAAATTATATAAAATTACTTTAATTTATATAGTGCCGATAATTTTTAATCTATAATATTTTTAAAAAATTTATCCATTAACCGGATGTTTTTAATCAATTCTTATTGTTTTTGTTTACCAGTATCAACTTAGACTATTCTTAGATGCTGAAAATGGATAGTAAATCCCTAAATTAGAAATTTTAATATATATATATATATATATATAATTTTTTAAATGTTAGTATATTTCTTGTAACTCTAAAATTTTGAGGGTGTCTTTTGCAATTATTAAAACTATAGATTAATTTTGAAAAATATTAAATTTTAGCGGTCTACCAATCGACGAATTTGATGTGTGCTAGTTAAAAATTTTGAAAATTTAGAGTTTTTTTTACGATTTTTAAATTTTGAAGGAGTTTTTTAAAAATTTTGAGGTTAATTTTGGCAAATTTTAATTTTTTAGGTGTCTAAGGGTAATATCTTGAATTCATCTTATTTTATTTACAAATTTTAGAATTTTAGGGTGGCTTTTTATAATTTGAACTTTTGAAGGTGTTTCTATAATTTTTGAGATATTAAGGGTGTTAATTAAAAAATTTAAATGTCAAAAATTTTAGGTGTATCATGGTAATCTCTTGAATTCATCTGTGTTGTTTGTAAGTTTTAAAATTTTAGAATTTTAATGTGCTTGTCTGTAATTTAAACTTTTAAGGGTGTTTTTATAATTTTTAAGACATTGAGGTGTTAACTGTAAAATTTAAATTTTTTGCAAACTGATGTTAATTTTTTAATTTCATGTTTTTTATTTTAAGTTTTGAGACATTTGGATGAGTTTTATAATTTTGAACTTTTCAGGGTCTTTTCTGCAATTTTAAAACTTTTTATGGTTTTTTGCAATACTTCATGTATTATAATATGTTATCTACTTGTAATTTCTTTATCTTAACAAACTAATATCATTTTTATGTTTTATATATTTTATTAATATTAGTTTTTTTAATTGTTAAGCTAAACATGGTTCACATAGGATTAGGATAATATATGATTATGATTAGGATAGATTAAGATATAAATAAAATATTCAAAATAGTGAAGGGTAATATTGACCATTGAAAATTAGAATTTGATTATAGATAAGGTAGTTCAAACTATAAAGGGGTATATTTGTCTAAAAAAGATTTTTCGAACTCGTGCTTTTAAAAGGAGTATGATATGATATGATATATATCAGTAGTGCCAAAAATAAGTGAGAGTATATAAGTGCAAAGCAAAGCGATATTGGTTATTTAATAAGTGCCATTAACCCAAATTGTAAATGAAAATAAATACAACTATTTGGAAAACCATCTGATCAATCACTTTTTTTCCCTTCTTCTCAAAAGAATGCAGAATCGAAAACCCTAATCCAATCTCCGCGGGGTAATCAATTCTTGATCAAAAGTAATGGAAGCCGCGGCCGAGGAAGAACAGGATGGGCTCTCAGTTCATTCGCCAGGCCAAGCTCCCCCTTCGTCGGCCTCCTCTTTACCTAAAGTTCATTCACTTGTTATTTTTTGTCTTGATTTTAGTCCTTTGTTTTTTTATTTTTGAATATTGGACGTATAATTTCGTGATTCTGTTTTTTAATTGCCCAGGAGCACTCGCAGGTCGATTTGGAGCTGAGGATTTTGGAAGCTCTGGAAATCTACCCTCCCTCCAAATTAAAAGGTTTTCCTCCTCCTTATTTTTTTTATTTATAATATACTTGGCTACCTTTTTTGTAGTTATGTTGGAAAATTATCGTGTAAATGTGCCTATACTTATTTCAATCAGGAAGTTCCTTTAGGCTGCGTTTGGCAAGGGGTTAAGAAAGGAGGAGTAAGGATAAGGATTAACTTAGTTAATCCATCGTGAAGGGTTAAAAATATTCTAAATTCATTTGGATTAGATAGTTAAGACAATGAGTTAAGTCTTTTGTGTTTGGCAAACGAAGAAGGGGTAAGGAGATTAATTTCATTATTTTTAAAAAAATACCACTTTCGTCCTTACTAATAATTTATAAATAATTGTCTCATTAAAATAAAAGGAGCTTGAAATTATGTAAAGCTGATTATAAAAGTATTACAATTTGGTTTTATTCAATAAATGACTGTTCTGAAGGTAAATAAAAATAAATTATCATTTTTGCGTCATTTTAAAAGCTAAAGTGAGATAATGAGCTAACAAAATATTATATGGCTTATTATCTATCAATAAACCTAGCAAAAAAGATCTGATTATTCAAGGAAATTGAAACAATCTACTCAATAGCTCTATATAAAATTATATTTTTTTGCTCATATAAAGATAATAAAAGACACAATTCAACGTCATTATACTTTAATATTCGACAACTATTGATATCAATTATTCCATAGTTGTAAAACAATCCTGTTGCGAAGCTGCTCACCCCTTAAACTTTCATCTGCACCAACTATGTATTGGGGTCTTTTTCTTCCTCATCATCTTCATCCTCATTCATCTCTAATCCATTGAGCATATTAAAGTATTTATCATTTCCTTGATGCCTTGCAATAAAATTATGAAGAACACAACAAACTACAACGATTTTGATTTGAGTTTTATAAGAAAATAAAGCAGTAACTTTCAAAATTTTGAATTTTTGCTTTAAAATCCCCCATGCCTTATCTTCACAATTGCAGGAATATGAGATCCATCATTTGCTCCCAATGCTTTCTACAAATATAAAAGAAATATAAAGTTCTAATGTACATATACATACACACATACACATTTAAAAAGAATTCATAAAAGATATGCTGAGAGCTCTACCTTGAAGTATGAGAAGAAATTGGGATTCTCTCGAATCTTAGGATGAATGTCTACGTTAACCGTGGGAAGTTGGATATAATCTTGTTTCAAAGATAATATAACATTAAGCACATTATTAAAATGCCTACTAAAGTACTAATAGTCTCTCCTGAATGTTAAAATATCTCATATAATACTCGATTTGAGAGGGCATGCGAAATTTCGTATAAAAATATACATAGTTGTTCATTGCAGCTTAAATATCTAGTTGACCTTAAAGCATTTTTCTCAAGTAGAACATTTTTTAGCAAAAGAATTGCCTCAGAACTCATTCGGAAGCAAGAATATGAACGATCAAGATGTCCAGTCAACATATCTTCTACAAGCATATGATCAGAGAATGACCTAGTTCGACATGGACGAGGTACCTACTTCATCACATTTGATTGATTAATGACACTTGTATCATCTCGTTCCACATGTACTCATCCTCATCCTCATCATTCAAAAGCAACGCCTCTATAAGATCATCTTCGTCATCAAGTGCTTCAATATCATCAATACTAATATCGCTTGCAATATATTCAAATGCATTCATCTTCAACCAAATTAAAAATAAAAAAAATTAGACAATTTGTTATAAAGAATGACAGAAAAAGTGATAAAAGCATGAATTTTATTTACAAAACCTTATCCTAATTTTTTTTGGAAGCCGGCTTCAATGCATTACATTAGAGAAAAATAAAAAATAAAGCTGTAGTATAAGAAAATGAATATGACTACCTGCAAAAAAGATGTCTAGCTATACGATTTCATTACTACTTATAATTAATATTGTTGCAGTAAGATAAGTTTTTTTACCTCAATCCTGTAACGTGTATCAGGTGGTGGTATCTTCAATTGTAATTTCCAATCAGGAGAGCTGAGACATCAAGAGAAAGAAAGCAGAAATTAAGTAGCAGTCCAAAGAATCCACTGCTGATTAACAAATTATTCGCCAATTAAAGGGAAACCTTGAAGAAAGGGAAAATATGAATGTATAAACCTCACTCAACATTAAAGCATAGATGGTTCCTTCTTAGTGATTTAATGTGACGCCCCTATTTTTACACATGGTTGCAGTCCTAGATGAACTCAGATATGTCAAACATGTCATGCATCTACACTGTGAGACATGTTTCACCATCGCAGTAATATCTTTCTAGTGGAATCAATGACAAGTGTAGGTACAAAACATACAAAATAAGAGAAATAAATGCAATAAACATAACATAGAAAGAGATCCAAATCAACATACTCATGTCCTAACTGAATAAAAACTAAGTACAACTAATGTCTGAAATAAATATGAAGTAACTTAATACATAGAGTCAAATGAAATAGTACTAAGACACACAACCTTTACAAAATAAAATATAAGTCTAATGATTAACTAAACCATAATTAAATGTCTGTGGAGTATCAACTACTAAAAATAAGCGACGACGACTATGCTGTAAATCCGTCAACCTGCGGCTCTCCAACACTCTGATCCGCTGCCTGAAAAGAAGGAAAAACAAAAAGAAATATTACAGCATCAGAGTGCTTTAGCAAGATCATCTCCATCCGCTCCTAGGGGAAGGACTACTAAATATGATGAAAGCTCTACCTATTATGCATAGTCTATCTAAATCATTTACATTGTATCTAAATGAGATTAATATTTAGAAACCCACAGCACGAGACGTAGTACTTCGAGCGAAATAATCCGAACAAGAAAACCCTCATGTATATACCATCTCAAATTGTGAATTCCTAAATATCAATTCCAAGAAAACAATACAGAAAAGTAAAGTTACTGCAATATCATAAATATCGACCATATAACGCGCGCTACCCTTAGGTAGATGATGTGGATACAAGAACTAAATCTTCTGTAATTCCCAAACGTGAAGTAATCCGGTCATAATATAACTCAGCGGTGAATCGTATTCATAAATGGCTTCCGTCAAAAATTCAGGTTATCAGATATATCACAATACAATATCTCGTAAGGTTTTATAACTCATTGCATTATCATGCAGAACGGACTATCAAATCAGGCATCTTAAATATGTACACGGCTCATTAGTCTCATTGCATCACCGTACGGGACAGACTTCCACATCAGGTATCCTAAAAGTACGGCTCTCTAGCCTCATCACATCACCGTGCGGGACGGACTACCAATTCAAGTATCCTAAAATCACGACTCAATGGTCTGTACTAAGGACATATCGACGTACTATTCCAAGTAGTACTGAACTGTGCTCATCAACGATATCCATATATGCATACATATTATAATTAATTGTTAACTCAAACATGATCGAAACAATACCTGTAATAATCCTCTTCGGGATATCTGTGTATGTGCCACAACTCTATTCGTGTACATCCATGGTTGCAACTGTGTCATCGTACGTCTCGAACCTCATGTTCACGACTAATCGTGCAAGAAAAATCACCTCATACAAGAAAATAAGCGTCGGTCGACTGCCCCTAGGGCATCAGTCGACCGAAGGCAAATGTGCACAAAGTGCATTCGAAAAAGACCCTATCGGTCGACCGATTGCTATCAGCCAGTCGACCGATCAGAAAAGATTTAAATATCTTGGGCGACACAATCGGTCGACTGATCCCTAAGGACCGCTCGACCGATTATAGGAAATATGAAATTCTTCCAGGTTCTGTGTTTTGCACTTTTACTGAAAAATTGATTTTTATTAGCAGGATTAATTAAACATGATTAACTCTGTTCATTACACAAATATAGATTAGTTTAATCAAGATCACATCACCTAAGTATCATAAACTTAGGATTTAAACATCATAATTAACAAAAATTCCCAATTAATTAATAAACTAGGGTTTTAAACCACATTAAAACGTAAATTAACAATTAAATACGGCTCTAATGATCATGATCATCTATTTCTATAAATTACAGATTAGTTCAACTGATTTCTTCATGGGTTTAAGATTTTATATCACAAATCTAGGTATTGAAAACATCAGAGATTATAATAAGTCGTTACGCTACCATTTTCTAATATCATGGAATAGCATGGCCCGGGGCTAAGGTAACTCCAGTGGGAGAGCCGTGTTATGGGTGACCTTATTGCACGGTTCAGAGAGCACTTGTGTATGTGATGCAAGTGAACGTGTACGAAAAAGCTGTCGTAAAGTTTCGTTGTTCGTTCCGTCGTTGACCCTATCTATGTTTCTGCAAGGCCAGCACCGGATCAGCCATGATGGCTCCCTTTTAAGTCCTCAAGGGCCTCTTGAGATTCTCTCGTCCAATGCCATGGTTGGTTCTTCTTAAGGAGATTAGTCAAAGGTGCAGCCCGACCCGAAAAGTAAGCTTTAAGCATTAGATTAAAACAATTAATTCACTAAAACATGATTTTTAACTAAGGAAAAGGTTTGGAGGAAGATGATCTTGCCTCAAACGTCGTGTTGAACTTCAAAACACGTGCACGCAAGATCATTCTTCACCAAGATCGCGAATCCCGCCCTCCTCTCGATAAGTGCCTCACGAACTCTCCCAAAAATCACAATTTAGGGTTAGGGTTTTGAGAGGGGAGGTGGCTGCTGATAAATCACATGAAAAGATAAAAGAAAGAGGTTTAAAACGAGTATATATACTTGTATACATAACTAGGCCTGAAATGAAACCAAAATCGACCTGAACACAAACCTACACGAAGAACTGGGATCCTGTCTGTCGACCCGGCACAACTGATCGGTCGACCGGTCGAATATCATCGGTCGACAGATCGGCCTAGGCCGGTTGACCGACCAGAACGCAGGTTGACTAACAGTTGTGTCTGTGCATGGTTTTGTGCATGTTTACACTTGTTTATTCACATATATACACTGAATCGATCTCAAATCGA